CCAGGCCAATCTATACATAGATTTGAAAGGAACACTTCAATATGCACCTAATGAAAATGCTTGCACAGTATTTGCTCATACACATAACCCAGAGCCTTGGAATTGAAAATCTAAGGCTTAGATTTTATCAAGGTCTCCATTCTAGGTCTTATATATGCACTCTCTAAAATTTTCAAAAAATATTCCTCATCAACTTCCTAAGAGATCTATACAATTACAAATTTTCAAACACCCAAAGTTACATTTAAAAAGTCTACATATGTGTAGGTATATTAAATGATTTCACATTTTCCCCATTCTTCCCTAACTTCCTTTTTAAATAATTTTTTTAACACCTTAGATCTTTTAGTCAAGTAAAAATCAGCTACACGGACAGACCAATTACTACATCACTTCCGTTCTGCAAAGGAGATAAATAGCCAGCCCAAACCACTCTCTTCATAAAGCCTTCTCTGACCATATAGGCCTCCACAAATGGCACCCAGCATCTGAGTTCATCTCTTAGTCAATCATCTGTGGCCTTGCTACCGTCTCTTCTATTTTTAGTCACGATCCTGAAGTACTTTTTATGTTCCTACTATAATTGTCATCAGTATGGGTCTACACTCAAGGTTGGCAATCTTTTTCTGCAAAGGGATAAATAGCAAATATTTTAGGCTTCTGCCAGCCATTGGGTTTCTGTCCCTAGTATTCAACTCTGCCGTTGCAGTAGGAGAGCAGCACAGACAACACCTAAAGAAATAAGCATGAATGTGTTCCAATAAAACTTTATTTATGGACCCTGAAATTTCAATCTATTTAATTTTCACGAGTCACAAATTATTATGATTCTTTTTTCCCCTCAACCATTTAAACATGTAAAAACTATTCTTAGTTTGCAGGCTGTACAAAAACAGACAGCTAGCAGGATTTGGCCCTCCAACCACAGTTTGCTGACCCCTGACCTAGCGTGCAGGGACTTTTAAGGAGCTTGGGTGGCGCAGTGGTAAAGCATTCCGCTGCTAACCAAAAGGACAGCAGTACGAACCCACCCCTCACTCCACCGGAGAAAGATGTGGCAGTCTGCTTCCTGTAAAGATTACAGCCTTGGAAAACCTATGGGACAGCTCTACTCTGTCCTACAGGGTCGCTATGAGTCAGAATTGACTGGATGGCAATGGGTTTGGTAGGTTTTGACCTAGATTACCAAAATTGTGTCAACAGCTCTGTTTTCCCCACAAGGCCTCCAATGGTAAATATCCACGGATTGATCCTGTTTACCTCTTTCCTTCTATTCTTCCAAAGGTGTGTCTTTGAAACACCTACACACCCAATTAACATATCAATCTGTGTAGCTTTAACTGATGTGCAGGCTTCTGAATCAATTAAGATTCTTTCTCTAAGAAAGGCAACAATCTATAAATAAAAGTGGCGGGGGAGGGGGAGTGGGCTGCGGCCTCAAGTAGTAGAGTGCAACCAGCTTTTGCAGACTAAAACAGCTGGATAAAACCAGAGCTGACAATTTCTAATGCTTTAAGTCATCCATAACCAGGAAAGAAAAAAAAAAAGGAGGGATGAACAGGATTGTACTTTCTCAAAAGTCATTGTCCTCCTAAGTGATATTTCTTCACCAATAACCTTTCCAGCAAAACGCAAGCACGGTAACAATAGCAGCAGCTTAAAAGTCACTTAGTTCTAGGAGGCAGACAGAGAGCCAATATAGAACCAACCAGGCCAAACTTTACAGTCATAAGTCTGGTATTTTCAAGAAACCTCTTTGGCTAGAGTTTTATTTTGCCAATTATTCTGAAACTTGCTTCTACCTGTGACTTTAAAAAAAAGTCAAAACCTTATCTACTGTTTAATTTCTAGAATGGCATACTGTTTTAGGAAGAGACAGTTCAGATACTGTAAATCCCCAGAAAGTTACAACAAAAAGAAAAGTAACTTCAAAATAGACCTAGATGTTTCCAGATTTCAAAGAATCAGATCGTGGTTGGGGTGGGACGTCTTGGACTATGACATATGTGGCACAGCCCATACACTGAGGGCCATTATATGCCAGGAATCTCTAGGTGGTGGAAATACTTAGCACAGGTGGCTGCTAACTAAGAGGTTGGAGGTTCAAGTCCACCCAGAGGCACCTTGGAAGAAAGTCCTGGACATCTAATTTCAAAAAATCAGTCACTGAGAACACTATGGAACACAGTTCTACTCTGCTACACACGGGTTCTCTATGAGTTGGAATCAACTAGACGGCAACTGGTTTTTTACTGATTATATGCCAGGAAGCCAGGACCTTTTACATATATTAACTCCAACTCTTGATGGGACTAACAACTCATACATCTTTCCTCCAGAAGATATAGTCTTGTATAATCTATACCTGCTGTTCAACCACATCCTGGAACCACAGAAATATGAAAGACTAACTTTATCAGGTGCAGGGATGGGCGATTTTTCATTCTGTTACACATAAGGTCGCCACGAGTCAGAGCCAACTCAACTGCAACTAACAACAGCTTTATCAGGGTTAACAATCAATAATTTAGGAGGAAGCAGAACCATCCAGTCCTACAAGTGAAACTTCAATAAGAAATGACTCTCAAGGAATGTCTGCCCATTGAAATCTTCCTGGTCAGACCTGTGATTTGGTTATATTTTCACACTTACCCTGTTTGTATGACAAGGTGATCAACAGGACTCTCACCAGCTCTAGATGTTGGGCAGAAGCCACCCTCAACGACACACACTACCAGGCTGGTGAGAAATCGTCCTATTTTTTAAAGACCCTAAATTAGTTTCCTAGCCTGCATACCACCCCACCCCACACTCCCCTCTTCCCCCAAATGCACAGTCTTCAACCATAAACTACTCCACAGAGCTTTACTGATTCCATGACTCTGTAAGGAAAATGTTTACAGACAGTGAAAGGAGAGCGCGCGCTAGACATTACTAGAAATTAAAATGATGAGTAAGTGGCACAAGAAAGACCAAACAATTAGGTCTCTGTGGCTTTAGAAGCCTAGGTCATACAGGCTCTATTCAATTAGCAAAGAATCCAGCAGTGTGAATCAGTCCACCAGCTGATGGAATGGTGAAGAAAGGGCTGCCCAGGCTGAGGGCAACTCAAACACTTTCAAAGAGCTACTTAACATGTGTCTTATGAACTTTATTTAAATTTAATGGAAAGGCTACAAAACAGTTCTTTCAAGCTTTTAAATCTCCCTTTTTATCTGCAAAGCTTGAGAGAGGAAAAGGGAAGTTATGAAGAACAAGTGGCATCTTGGTCACTGAGACTGTTACACAGCAATGGATGCCAAACACAAGTTCTCCTATATATGAACTTGCCTGTTCCCATACCCAAACCCAAACCAAACCCATGGCCACTGAGTCGAATTCCGACTCATAGCGGCCACAGTCCTGCCTGAAACAATGGCAAGACAGCAGCCCAGGGCAAGCTGAGGGCACTGCCGAATTCTCGGGACAGGAGATACAGCGTGGAGCTCTCAATTCAAAGCAAAACCAAACCACAAAAAGCTGTTGTCATTCAGCCAATAATTCCAGCTCCATCATGAAGTCTTTCACCAGAGTGACTCGACCTCCCTATGCAACTTGTGAAGAAGTTATTAAGCAATGAAATACAGTAACTGTGGGGAGAGAAAGTTATAGCTCAAAAATTAGGCAACTGGATCACTGAAAGCTGTCTCTGCCATGCTTGGGTGACAGTAATGGACACTGGAAAAGAAAAACCACTTAAAAAGGACATCTATCCAGAGTTCCTCCTCAGTCCAACAGCCAGTGAGCTTTTAAAAATAAAGCATGGATCCTTGGTTTTTTCCAGTGTCTTCCATCTACTCAGAAAGAAAACCAAATTATCATCATAGTATGCTCTGGAGCTGCCCTTATCTCTCCGACTTCTACTCTGGCTCCGGCTGCTCCCTCTGCCACTCTCCTCCAGTCACACTGGCCTCCTTGCTGGTCCTCTTACATGCCAGGCATCCTCCCACCACAGAGCGTCACTCCGTGAAGGCTGCTTCTGCCTCAGCCCTTTGCAGATGCTCTTCTCTCTGGAGGAAAAGTTTCTTTCCCTGAGAATCTACAAGGCTGGCTTCCTCAATCCTCCTTCAGATCTCTGCTTAATTCACCTTATCAATAATGTTTCCCCTCGTTACTCTTTGGCATCCCCTCTCCCACCTCATACTCCTTACTCCCCCTCCCCCTGCTTTATTTTTCTCCATAGCATTCAACACAAGTTGACATATATATTTTGCTTAACCCTCAAAAGGTCCATCCCCCTTCACAATGTTAGCTGGGAGACAGCAAGACACTGGTCACTGCTAAATCCCTGCACTCTACTGATGAATGAATGAATGATTACTATTAGGACAGGTGACATTTTACTTAAAATTGGCTTGTGACAAAAAAGGTTTCTACTAATGAAGTGAAACAGCAGAAGCTTCTATAGATGAAGGACAGGCAAGGTTGGGCTCTGAGGGGCTAGGAGAGAATATCTGTGCCTGGTTTTCTTAGGTAGACTGAGAAGGCTCACCATCATCCCTGCGTGGAAGAGGGAGAGGTAAGCCATTTTGAAACAGCCTCTTCAGAATTTATCTTAAGCGTCAACTCTTATCTAAAATTTTTGTTTCCAGCCACACCCCTAAGGAGAGTGACTTAGCCTGAGGGATGTGTGAAGCCCCACCCCCGCATTACCACACAGTTTTGTTTTTTCGGGGCAGAGGGGAAAGGCCCAGCAAGAAGGTCTGATAATGATAATCTTATAATCCAAACGCATAAACCCTACTGAGGGGAGAAAGCCTGAGACTATTACACTCCTTAAAAAAAATAAGTAACTCTCAAATAAGCCAGGAGCTTTAAACAGCTCCTTCTGAGTAAGGAGCCAAACAATCCAAACCCTTTTCAATGGCCCTAAATTAACACTTCTTTTTCTTCTTCTTGTCTCATGCACATTTTTCAAAACTTTAAAGCAAAAGAGGCTGAAAATGAAAGTTTGTCTTTACCTTGGGTTTTGGCCCCAGGCCCTGTCAATCCTAGTGATGAATCACAGGATCCCTTGAGAGGCGATCTGATCGGCGGCGTTTCAGCTTCAGGAGTCTCAAAATTACCTTCAGAATCCGAGCTGCCAAGGGGGAAAAATGAGGAATTACCACTTTCAACGGTATTTCTGACACTCTTTACAATCTAGATATCCACAAAGGCTAAAGGACAGCGTTTTTTGTCTAACTTTACATCCAAATGGTCCTCGGCATGGATCGGCCTGCCCGAGGCTGCTGGCTGCGGTTTCCTAGAGATGCCCTCCTTGGGTTTCTCAGCCGGGCATCCTGTCTCCCTGAAATCTCTTCAATCCTCTGGAGCCTTTCTCTAGCATCGTTTATTTTTGAGGTCATCTTTCCCTCTGACACCCCAAAAAAGCGCTTTAACAGACTCCTCTTCTCAGAAGAGCCCTTTCCTATAGGTTTAAAAATTCTCACCCCCCCCCCACCCGCCCCCTCAAGCCACATACAACAGCAACAACAACTGGTATGATTGCTCCTTAGGATTCCATTCAAAGCATTCAGCAGCAGCCTTCAGAGACCACCCGCCCCCTCAAGCCGATTCTCGCCATGATGCCTTTTTCCTCAGCAGGCCTCTACCTGTTTGGAACCCACTCGGCCCTAGCCTGGGAATGCTGTCACCTGCCTTCCGCAATCACACGGGTGACAGCTCAGCAGAGACCACCATTTCTCCCCAGCTGCCAAGGGCCTGTCATCACGCGACCTTCTTTACTACGGCTGCATTTTTTGGGACACAGTGGGGCCCTGAAGGGCCAGGGGGCGACTTCTTCCCCACAGGGAAGGTTCTAAGTACCACGGGGTGTGATCAAAGGCACTGGCCGTGTGTGTTTGTGTGTAGAGGCAGGGGCTGGGGGATTGACGCTTAGAGAAAGTGACCGAGACAGAAGGGGACGCGGAGACTGCAGATTCTGGGTTGGGTTCAGAAAGCTCATACTGACATGAGGGAAAGAAAATACACGGAAGGACAGAACACCCTGAACTTTCGAATGCACAGCGGGGACCTGGTTATGGACAGGGAAGTAGCATTGCCATGAATACGGTTATGCGGTTGGGCGACCACACACACGCACACAGACTGAGCCGCGGATGAAAGGATGGCAGCACGTTTGCATCTCGGCAGGGATGCTGTGTACTTGCCTGAAACTCAAGGATTTGGTCTCGGCTTGCGAGTCCTCCTCCTCGGGGTCTCGCTCGGGCCCTCCGGCCTCGTCCTCTCCGGAGCCCCCGCCGCGCACCGCAGACCACGTCCATTTCGCCCACTGAACCGGGGACAGGATCTGCCAAGGGCTGAACGCCATCAACGCGGCTCCTCCGGCTCCAGATCCTAAGGGAAGGGGAAGGGGAGAGCCTTTTTCCCTTTCAAAATGGAGGGAACCGGTGACAGGCGCCCCTAAGCCTTTCCAGCGAAGGCGCGGATGTGGTTAAACGAGCGCCGTCGGGTGCCCGGGTGGAGCGCTTCCTCTTCGCCGGCACGCAGCAACGCTTCCTCCTCGTCCTCCTTCCCAATCGGTGCGGCCACAGCGCCCCCCGCGCTGTCTCCGGGCCAGGCTTCTTCCGCGGTGAAGATGCCTCTGCCGGGTCCTCAGGGCTCCGGCCGGCGGTGCCCGGCGGCTCAGCCTCGGCGTCTCCGCGTCTCCAGGTCTCGGGGTCTCGGACTCGCGCCTCCCAGCCGGCCCGGCGCGCATCAGCTGCCGCCGGAGCCGCGCCCCAGGAGCCGCCCCCTCGGACCGTACTACTTGCACGCGCGGGCGGGGGCGGCGGCGGCGCCGAGGCTTTGAAGTCTGCGATGCTCCCGGCAGATCCCCCCGCCGCGGTGCGGCGCTGGTTGCGACTCGACTGCGGGAGAAGGGCTTCCAGGCTGCGACTTTGGGAGCTGGCGGAGGACTCAGGCGACCCTGACAGCAGTGTGCACCTTAGGGGTGGAGAAAATCCATTTTCTGAGTCTGTGCACGCTGGACTTTTCCTCCTTCCCTTTGTATTTTTTTATCCCGTTACTGTGACTTAATGGCGTATTGCTGATGTTGGATCGCACAAAAGTTCAGCCCCTTGTAAAAAAACAAACTTCGGAGCCACTGTTGACTGGTTTTTTTTGCCCGTAGCTAATACTGACAGGGTGGAAGATTTCGGCCTGTTCATCTTCAACTCTAGCACTCCCAGGCTTTGGAAATCTCTCACCGACTCTACGACAGTAGCTAAGGACTGGAATTTAAGATGCCTTGCCCCTCCCCAAACCGCACCCCTGGAGGCTCTGAAGTGTCCAGGTCTTAGGTAAACGGTGCTAAATTACCCCGTGAAATTACAGCCTGGTCGGTTTCCCATTCTCCTTTTTTGAGGCGTCCTTTTCCTAACTTCGAAGTCTTTGCATCACTTATTTCTGACTTGGTTTGCCGCTTCAGAAGTAAGTCAACAGGCCTGGTGAAGGCAGCCTTCAAAATAAAAACGCTGTTTATATTTGAAGGGACACACGGAGCTCTCCTCAGACTGTCATTTTCTGTTTACGGATTGCTCGTCTCAGAACCACCAACTCACCCTCTTCCAAGTGAATCTGGCTGCCTCAAACACTAGGCTTAAAGACTTCCTTGCCTGTTTCTTGTACTGTTATTATAATTTCCCAGAGTTGCGATGGATCCTGTGAGGTGGCTGCAGGTTCCCACAGAGACAGCAGCTCCAGACTTTGGGGACAAGGTCGTGCTGAAACTGCAAGAGACTGACCGTTTCCCCTGAAAGGGGTTGGCACACATATTGCTGACGAATCTTGACTGTCATACATATTTGATAAGGAAAACCGAAGCAAAAATAAAGCAAGATAAGATTTGGCAAGTAGTCTTGCCATAACACAAGCGCAGGGATGTGCTTGAGGCCTAAAAAAGGAAAGAGTTGGGGTGTCCAGATGCTTGAGAATTCACCCAGCGCCTTCTCAGAGATAAACACAACTGTCACGAGTGTTCTGGGGACTACAGAGCTGTAAAGTAGGCAGGAATCATCCTCTAGAACCAGATGAAATGTACCACAAAACTATTCAACTGTTTTTTTTAATTTTTTCTTTAGGTTCCTGCTCACCAAGTAAACCTCATGATTATATGGTCTCCCCAGGTTTCTATATTTGACATAAATGTTCTGTTGCCTGGAAATATATAATAAACCGGCATATACTAAATCCTGTTCTTTCTTCCTCCTGGATACTTCTCTAATCTTTTCATTTCTTTGCATCTCCACTGTGATTGACATAGTTCTGTCACTCCCTGTTTTTCTAGAACTGTTGGTTATCTCCCAACTGGCTTTGCTTGTGAGAGTGTTTTCGCCTGGCGCCCCCTGCTGACCTGTGACTAGCGCTCTCGTCTTGGTTTTCCTTCTCCCCTCAACTCCCGTTCCTTTCTATTCCTAGTGAAACCGCAATTGGTAGAGAATCGGTTCCGAGCCTTTACCATGCCTAGGAGTCCTTTGGGGGCGCTTCTTAAAAACAGATTCTCAGACCCATTAATCCAAATTACCGGCAGGATCTGGAAATCTGTAGTTTTGCCAAGCACCCTGGGGAATTTTTATCACAAATAAAAATGCAGAAAAATGCCTAGCTTGAACCAACTAATTGCTGCTTCCGGAACAATCTCCTTTTTTGCCTGCAGAGTTTTGCACATTCCTAAAACAAACCCCCTCCCCACAAGCTCGCAGTCCTTAATTGCCCTAACATCCTTCTTCACCCAGTGTCTGCACTGGGAAATCAGGCTGATTTCTCCCTCCTTTCTGTTACTGTTTCTATGCCCCATTCATTCATAGAGGCTTTTGCTGTGGCTCTCAGTAGTTTTGAAAGGGGAAGTGGGTACTACTTAATAGTTACAACAGGACAAAAGGCATAAACCAGGACTGTACCATGCAAACCAGGAAGTAAGGTCACCCTACACTTAGCACACTGTGTATAAGGTGTTTGTTCATATATCTGTCCCACTGTGGGACCGTTTAAGTTTCTAAAGGGCGGGGGCCATGTCATATTTATGATTCATTTTTGTTTCTCCAGAGAATAGCACAGGGCCACACAGTCAGTAGTTGTTCAATAAATGTATAATGAATGAATATCCTAGTTTACAAACAGTCCTTGTGAGTTTGGCTAAAGTGACATAAATTCCTAAAGCCTAATTCCTGGGGAAATCAAGTTTCTGAACCAGCACAGAACAGAACCCAGACCAGTGATGGTCCCAATAAGACAAAGCCCAACCTATATAGCAAGCTTTGGAAACTAAAGCTGCAACTACCCTGGATTTTGAAACTCACTCCTCTGCCAGTGCTTGGACTTAACGTGAACAATAATGAAGTAAATACTCAACAGCTTGCCTTGATTTTATTTGCCAGAAGCACGAGTAGTGAGGCTAACTGATATATCAGTTTTCCTGTAATTTGGGGAAAGAACGGGCAATAATGTTTTGACAACAGATATCCTAACCAAGGTAAACCAGCATTTTGCTGCTACTAACTACTTCAGCTTGACAGAGCAGAATATCTGCAAACACACGACCAAGTATCCAAATGAACCGTATTTGCTTTGCAAGTGACCGTAAGCACAGAAAAGGCACCGTCTGTTCTCTTTCTTCCCTCTGCTTCTCTCCCCTTCACAGAAACTTTGGATGAATACACCATGAAAATCTAAAATGGAACTCGTTTGAAACACTCCACAAATACACACACCTTGCAGCTAATCGATGATCCAGAGGGGTCTACAGAATGAGTCCCTTCGCTCAAAAAAAAAAAAAAAAAAAATTATGAATAAGCAAATCAAACAGGCAAATGACTATCCACTTAGTAGCAAAGCAACCTTAGGAACGCATGTGGGAATGTGGCAGGAAGTAGGGGCAGAGGCAGGATGGGGCCTAACTGTGAAGGATCCTGTACCCTCATTAAGTTGTTAGAACTCCATACTGCAGAAGGGGCACACACAGGCCTACCTAGATAAGGTAAGGGAGTGAAAAGGCTGGGTGGTAGCTGAGCTTTCTGGAGATCGCTGCATGTCTGAGGGGCAGCTTACCCAGTCCCTATTGTCCAGCGTTGCCATCTAACAATTTTTCAAGAGAGACCAAAATCTTGGATTTTATCAGCAATCTTCCTACCTATAACGTCCTTACTAATTTAAATTGTTCTTTAAGCCTTGTGGAGGCCAACAGCGTGCAGGCCAAACAAAAGCCATCTGTGTGTCTACGTGGCCCATGCAGCCTGGATGGGCAAAGGGGACTGAGTCATCAGGCTTTTCAGCAAGAAAGTAACATTTCCACTCAGAAGGACTGAGCTGGCAACAGCTTGGGGGTAGGGATGGAAGGAGGCAAGCCCGAGATAACTGTAAAACTGCTATTTTCCCTGCCCCAAAGGGAGTCTCTGGGTGGTGCAAACAGTTCACATGCTCGGCTGCTAACAGAAACGTTGGAGGTTTGAATCCATCCAGAGGCACCTTGGAAGACGGGCCCAGTGATCTACTTCTGAAAAATCAGCTACTGAAAACCCTAGGGAGCAGTTCCACTCTGACACACATAGGGTCGCCATGAGTCGGAGTTGACTCGAAGACAACTGGTTTTAAACGGCCTAGAGAGGGAAAGAAACAGATTTGGAATTAGCGTCGTCTTTCACTCCACTTGTTCAATAAGTATCAGAGCTGTAAGCAATCCGAGCACAATGGGAACAATGGAAGGGAAAGAACATCACTACTCCTGAGAAAGCTGAGATGAGAAGGCACTTGTCCATGACACAGCGTTGGGGGAGTGGAGGAGGCAATGGAGGAGGGTAGGGCCGAGACAGCGCTAGGGAATCGCAGAGCTAAAGAAGTAACCACTGAGAAAACAAAGGCCGAGTGGTACAGAAAAGCCTGTGTAACTTGTCTGTACTTCCTAACAACCTAAGAATTTGATGAGCAAAATATACACCTAATCCCACTAAGACTTATTCTTGGCAAATACTGCCAGATTGATGATGCAACTGGAGTTGCTGGCAGCTCTGAAGCACTTAGCAAAAGCACTGGCCCATACGAAACTGAAGCGCCAAATGACACCTAGGTTTAGGTGACTCAATGGAACCTTAACAGAATATCCTCTGCTCCCCCACCCTCGTTTTTGAGAGCCATTTGTCCACTGGGTGAGTTTACCAAGACACAGTGGGGAATTCCCTGGTATGGTTTCTCCATCAACCTAACCACCGAATGTTCTCTCTCCACTCACCCAAGTAAACACCCTCAACCCTCAGCTTTTTTTTCTTGAATATTTAAATAAGAAAGTCTCTAAGATATAAAGATAATGGTACCTTACGTAAAGAAAACCTTTCTAATAGTTTCAAGTTATTTCATTTGACCCTTACAATAACTCTCTCAGGTAGGAAGGGTGGTTTTTTTTTTTTAATTTAATTAATTAATTAAATTATTTATTGTACTTCAGGTGAAGGTTTACATAACAAATAGTTTCTCATGAAACAGTAGTACACATACTGTTTTACGACATTGGTTGACAACCCCACAACATGTCAACCCTCT